GACGTTCAGTCGAGTTCCTGAGCTTCTGGGCCCCGCTTTCCTCATCTGTAAAGGGTGCCGCTGGGCAGGGTCACTGTGAGAACCAGCAACGACATCATCAACACTCAGGAGCACAGACGGGGGCCAGGCCCGGGGCTCAGCATTTTCTCTGACGTCACTTTCTTCCCCTTCCCAACCGCCCACGGAATCGGTGATGTTACTGCGCCACAAAGGAACAAGGGAACAAGGCCCCACGAGGGTGGTCAGGCTGCTGAGGCCGCACAAGGGAGACCCAAGGAGCTGTGCTTCGCCCCGGCCGTGGGGCAACGCAGCTCATGCAGGGGCCTGGCCCGTCCTGCTTCCGGAAGCTGCTCAGAGGTGCCTGTCCTCCCCTCTCCCCTGGGCCTGGGTCCCCAGCACCAGTGTGGGTGCAGGACGTGCCTGGCCCAGGGGTGGGAAGCGCAGCCCGGGGGCTGAGAGGGAGGGGCCGCCTCTCCTCTCTTCTGTCCTGAGGGAGAGAGGCGCAGACTCAGCCCCTGCCTGCAGCGGCAGCCCCTCCCTGTGGGATGAGGCCGTGCTCCCCAGTTGGTCCCCCTGATGAGCTGCAGGTGCCCGGGGAATTCATGGGCTTCCTCCCCTCCCCCACTCCCCGCGGCCCAGGGCAGAGCCCAGCTGTGCTGCTCCCGGGTGAGGAACAGGAGGGCCCAGCTGGGAGGAAGAGGGAGCAGACAGGCTCGCTGGGTGGTCAGAGGGAGGGAGGCGGGTGCCCCATCTGGGCTGCGGAGTTGAGGAGAAGCTGGCAAGCGGGGGCTCGCCTGGGGCCAAACACCAGGCTTCGGAGAGGTCCGGACACCTGCGTCTCACTCGAGGGGCAGCCAGCGCCCTTGCTGTCATCAGCGTGCCATTGTTTGGGGAGGAAACTGAGGCCCCTGGGAGGTGACCAGACCAGCCTCGTGTTCATGCACAGTGTGACGGCCTGGTGGCCGTGAGACTCTGCCTAGAGTCCGGGCAAGGATGAGGTGGCCTGCCTCACAAGAGCTCCACCAGTTGTCCCTGTCTTGATCCGTGCAAGCACCAGGCAGCAGGCAGGTTGAGACCGCGAGTTACCCAAAAGGCTTATGGAAAAAGGGGCCTATTCCTGGGACTATCCTCAGGGATTTGCCGCTAGTGGGTGTGGGACGGAGCCCGGGAATCTGCTTGCTCAGTGCGCCTCCCAGGCATCCTGATGGCCACTGGGCTTGGGAACCTCCACAGTGGGAAAAACAAAGAATGTTCGTAGCCATGAGCCTGAGCCTCAGAAGTGCAGACTCACTTGCTTCTTAGCTCATCCCCAAAAGGTCCAAAAATTCACACGGCCAACTGGCACTGCACACTCTCCCCTCCCTGACGGTCGGAGTGGGTGGTCCTCCCTGACCCGCTGCCCGGGCGTGCACAGCACCTGGACAGGCCAAGTCCCCGGGGGCGGCTCCCACGCCACGTTCCCAGTGCCCTGCCCGGGAGGGAGGACGGGATCCCACTGAATCAGGGGCACAGCGTTCAGCCCTTGCCCTGACTCTAGACCATATTTTTGCAGCCCTAGGCTACAAGGAACGGACAAGTTCCAGGTGGGCTGCCAGAACGTGGAGCTCCCATTTCCTCACTGCACCATGGGATGTTAAGGTCAGCACCCACCTTGCTGGGTAACAGTGACAATCACGAGAGGCCATGGTGCAAAGCTGCCACACGCTGAGCAGCGAAGCTCTTCCCTTGCATGAGCGCATTTCATCCCTCCCACCCGCCCTCGGAGGTGGAAACTATTATTAACCCCATTTTCCAGATGAGAGACATTAAGTGACTCACCCTGGGTCACATGGCGAGAGACAGCAGGGCTGGGATTCGAACCTGGGGAGACTGACTCCTCGGGAGCCCAAGCTCTGACCGTGAGGCTCTGCCACCTCAACCAGTGCTGAGCCTTGTCCACAGCCAGGGGGAGGGGAGACGGAGGCTGGAGGCAAAAGGGACGGAAAGATTCTGACTTTGTGTCGGGGAGGAGGATGGGGCAGAGCTGACGCTGGGTTGGTGTCAGGCCTGGGCCAGCAGGACAGAGCAGCTCCGGACCGAGTGGGGTCCAGGCAGAAGGTCTGGCCGACACCCTCGAGTCTAGCAAGATGGTTACTCTGAAAGGGGAAATTAAGTCCACCTTAGCTACATTACTTCATTTTTATCTTATCCCCAGTATGTTCCATGGAGGCTTTTAAGGAAAAAGAAGAGTTGAATGATTCTATTGCAAGGTAAGTTTGGAATCCTTCTACACAGTATTCTCTATCCAGAGACTCACAAGGGAGGTCGGCAAAGTAAATGCTCTGATAAGTCCCGCAGAGAAACCTGTTCCATTTACCTAGCCTAGCATCCCTCACCTGCAAGTGACCACGAAACCCTTCCCTTTTCCCTGGGGCACCCGTTGATACTTCCCGGAACCACAGTTTGAGAAGGGTCACCAACTATTGCTGTAAATAATATTTCTGAAAATACCAACGATTTTCAGCGTGGCAGGTCACAGGGTCTCTGTCACAATGACTCAACTTTGCTGTTAAAGCACGAAAGCAACCCTAGACAATACATCAACAAATGAGTGTAGCTCTGTGCTAATAAAATGCTATTTATGGACACCAAAATGTAAATTTCATACAATGTTATGTGTCACAAATATTAGCCTTCTTTTGATTTTTCTCAGTTATGTAAAATGTGAAAACTGTTCTTAGTACCCAGGCCACACAAAAAAAAAAGAAAGAAAAGAAAACAGGCTAGGGGCCGTGTTTGGTGGCAGGTGCAGAGCGGTGGCAGCTGCGGAGCTGCTGCCGGCACCTGAGCCGGAGGAGGAGACAAGGGCACCTGCCCCAGACTTTGAGCGACGCACCCCCATGATCCTGGCCAGGTGCCCCCCAAGCTCCAGACCAAAGCAGTGACCCCCGATTGGGAGGAGAGCAGGCCAAGCCCAAGCACGACACACACGGGAAAAGGTGACTCAATTCAGCTACAGCGTCTGAATCACTTGGCAAAAATCCAGCCTGAGCGAAGTAGAAAGGAAACCCACAACTGGGGCAATGTCTGCCGCTCCAGCTGCCAGCAGCCCAGACCGAGAAGACGATCGCCTGTCAGAGCGACGGGCGAAGGATGGGAACAGATCGCGCGCCGCGAAGAGACCGCAAACGGCAGGCGTGAAGACGTGCTTCAGCTCACAGAGAAAGAGGAAAGCAGAGTCCCACTGCAAGACATACACCTGCCACCCATCCCTCTGTCTAGCAAAGGTCGGCACACTCGAGACCTGAAGTGGCGAGGAGGGGACACAGGCACGGCGTGTGCAGCAGGCGGGGGTGCCGATGGAACGGCCTCTGAAGACGGACGGACGCTGCCTGTCATGGCCACGACGGGCCAGCGCCTCTCTCGGGCGTTTATCCTAGAGCCACACGCGCTCAGCTGAGAACCAACGACCTGTGCCCCGAGGCGTTCCACGGCAGCCCTACCTGGGACAGCAACAGACTGGAACACACCTGGGTGCTCACCCAGGGGGCTGGAGGAGTCAACTTTGGCAGGAGTGATAATAACGGCAGCAGCTCTGATTCAGGGCACGTGTTCTAAGCCCTCACTACTCAAAGTACGGTCCAGGAACCAGCGTCCTCTGCATCACCAGGGGCGGTCTAGAAATGCGGGGGCCCCGCTGCCCCGGGCCCTCAGAATCAGGGCCTCAGTTTGCCAAGGTGCCCGGGGCATTCCCACGCACTTCACGGCGCTGTTTTCAAAACCCTTTCCACATTAACTCACGGATTCTCACAGCAACCCAACGGCCCAGGCCCTCTTATCGCCTGCATACTGGAGGTGAGGCAGCCAGGGCGCGGACAGGGTGGGAAAGCTGTCCAAAGTCACACACAGCACGTGGGTGGCAGCGCTGCGTGGGCACAAACACATCAGCCTTAAAGTGAACGAGGAAGCTCCTCAGTGGCTGGCAAGACCAATCTCCAAGGTAAGTTGCCAGGCGAAGGGCACTGTACGGACCAGGCCGCCATTAGTGCGAGAAAAAAAGAAAAGAAGAGCAGACTGTCTGTGTAAGTGCCAAAGCGCCCAGAGAGCATCTCTGGAAAGATGCTCAGTGGTGGGAACAGTGGTTGCCCCCGGAAGTGGAACTCAGCGGCTGGGAGGAGGAAGCCGGAGGGAAGCCATTTACTGTTACACACGTTCACACTGACTTTGGAGCCGGGGGCTTGTATTGCCTACTGAAAAATAAATGGGGATTATTTATTTTTTTCTTAAAGCTGGTGTGAAGAAGCTACATACCCGAAACCACCCCCACTTTTAATTAGAAACACACTTAGTCAGGGGGCGGGATTAGACCCTCCCCGCCCAGCCCCAGTTCCCCACTCACCTTCCTGTGCCCTTCTCAAAGTTGGCAGGTCTGTGGTGGGGGCGGGGGGAGGGCAGGCCAGCAATGGCCTCTCCAAGAATTTGGGACTCAGAACCATACTCAGGTTCCGATGTGGAAAGGACTAATGCCTTTCACCAGGGGCAATTTTGCTCCACAGGGGACATCTGGCAATGTCTGGAGGCATTTTGGGCTGTCGAAAGTAAGAGACGGTACCAGCGTCTAGTGGGACAAGACCAGGGATGCTGCTGAACATCCTACACTGCACAGAACGGTCCAGAATGTCCTGTGTCCCTAGCTGTCACCCCGAGGACCCAGTCCAAGTTCAGGTTCTGACGCAGCAGGTCTGGGTGGGCCCAAGACTCTGCATTTCTGGTAAGAGGGATGCCACCCTGCTGATGTGGGACCACCCTTTGAGCAACGAGACCCAATCCAGTGGGGCCAACCATGTATTCTTCTCATGCGAAGTGGGGAAGGGGCTGTTTTTGGTTTGGGTCAAAAGGCTGAACACTGAGTACCGGCTGGGCGGGCACGGGGAAGCCTGCTCCTGGCGGAGAAAAGCACGAGCCCTTCTGAGACCCACAGGCTGCAACAGAACCGGCGGTAGTGTGGCCAGGGGACTCACCATCCAGAGTCTCCACCGAGAGCTGCAGGCCCAGGTTGTGCCGCGGGTTGACCACCCAGTGGTTGCTCGTGGCCGTGATGTCGAAGACCAGCCAGCCCTCCTCCGAGGCCCAGAGGGTGCGGCTGTCCAGCAGGAAGAGGTCCGACTCCCTGCGAGAGAGGAGGAGAGAGACACGGGCTCCCGGTTAGACAGGTCAAGGCTCGGCCACCCCGACAGCCACTGGTGGAGCAGAGAGTCTCGTGGAGTGGGGGAGGTGGAGTCCACCGGTCCCCCGAAAGTGGGTTCACCAGACCAAGATCCAGGGGCAAAGACCCCTCGGTAGCTGTAGTGAGGAAGGGGAGTGTAGAAGAGGCATAGCGATATGCACGGGGGACGGGGAGCTGCTACGAGGCCACCTCGCCCTACAAATCGTTTGGGGGGAGTCCCAGCGGGAGGGAGTATAGGAGTGCAGAAATTATACAGCCTCCATGCTGCCAAAAGAGTCTCAGGGAACAGAAGTTGACATAGATTGTATTATTCCCCACGTACCAGACACTGTCCCGACGGCCCTACACATGCTATCTCATTCAATTCCCACAACCCCAAATCGACCCCCATTCAATATATGGTAAAGACACGACTTGCTCAAGGTCATTTAGCCGGGAAGTTGCCAAGCTGGGTTTTGAGCCTGGGTAACTGAGCTCCTGGGTGGCCACTCTTCATGTCTGTGATATGCCACCTCTTTATGAGCCTACCAAGCGTTAGCAGGTGAATTCCTGGCCTGATGTTGTTAATAGAGGAGATCCTTTCATTCTCTCCTCCTCACTTTTCAAAGTAGCAAAATGGGTAAAACCAGAATTAACCTTGTAAGGGATGGAAGATGGATGGAAGGGAGCAGGCAGGTGGATTTGTGTGTGGGTAGAGACATTTTTAAATTCCTGGGTGGCAGAACCCTAGTATGCAAGATCTTCATAGCATCTCTTGTGCACCTTTAATGATAAAGATTGAGAGTTTCAATACTTTGAGTCCTCTAATAATCAAGTGAAATATCTGAACCCCCATCCTGTGCCAGGTGCTGGGCTCTTACGATGAACGACTCCACACTGGCCCCTTCCCCAGGGCACTGACAGGCTTTGCCACACCTGCAGTTATCTGATTTTCCTGAGAATGAAGGTGAACGTTCTCTGCTTGCACATAAAGATGTCAGATGCAACAACTATTTATCGAGCACTTACCATGTGCCAGGCTCTGGGTTGAAATGCCCTGCCAGCATCATGTCACCGAGTCCTTACAACAACCCTCTTAGGTGGGTAACGCCACCCACACCATCGTGCAGAACCCGAAACTGAGGCTCAGAAAGGTGGAGCTGTTTGTCCAGGGTTACACCACGAGGACAGGGGCCAGGCAGGACCGGAACCCAGCCGGGCTGCCTGCAAGCCCAAGCTTGCAGTCGTACCTGAAGACGGCTCTCCTGAACATCACCTTCGCTCAGGTGCAGCCGTCACCACTTCAGAGTCTTTGACAAATCGGACGTACTGGAATATCACTCGCTGAGACATCAGCACGAGCCGAGCCATCAGCAGGAGCTGAGCAACAGAAGCCCCTGTAGACGAGGCCCATGTCTCCGGATGGCCCACTCCCCGACTCTCCCCACTACTGACACAGCCACCCCATTTATCTTTCCTGCCTGGCCCGGGGACCTAGGTTTGTGAGCTCTGCCCATCTGCAGCTCTGCCGCAGGCCACGATACATCAGACGTTAGCCGGACACGTCGATAGGCACCAGGCTCAGAGCAGACACGCGGGAAATGAATCTGTAACGTTAGCCAGTTTCTCAAATTTATTTAGAAATGTACTGGGACTAACAGGCCACTCAGAGAAGCCTACACAGGGGAGGAGAACCGGGCTCCGAAAGAGACGGGACCCAAGGCGGGACTGTGGGGCGGGCGGTCTCGTCAGGCCCACCAGAGGGGGAACGATCTGAGCTCTTTGCCCTCTTGGCTTCTCCCCATCCAAATCTGGGGCCAGAGAATCGACTGGGCCGGCTGCCTGGCCGCATGAGTGCAGGCACTCCACAGTGACGGGCGGCATCACCAGGACCACCAGGGGAGGCAGGGGTGACCCCATCCCACACCCCCAGAAGCCCCACTTTTTAAGTAATGCTCAATGACTCCCAGAACCCAGTTCAGAAAATGCTTAATTATAGTATTGCTAAGGTTTGAGTGTTTGCGCTCCTCCCCAAGCTCATGATGAAACTTAATCTCCGATACAATAGTATTACGAGGCGGGACCTGTAGGAGGGAATTAGGCCATCAGGGAAGGATGAGTGTCCTTATAAAAAGGTTCAAGGGAGAAAGTTTGGTCCCCTTTTGCCCGTCCCTCTTCCGACACAGCAACAAGGTGTCATCTTGAAGAAGAAGAGCAGCCTTCGCCATGAGCTGACCCTGCCATCACCTTGATCTTGGACTTGCCAGCCCCTAGCACTATGAGAAATACATTTCTATTGTTGCGGCAGTGTGTACAGCCAGTGTTACAGCCCTTGTTACAGCTCTTATTCGTTTGACCAGGGAAAGAACCGAGCGGCACACGAAGAGTCGGAGAACAGCCTTTATTCTTCTACAGCAGACTCAGCACACCTAGTGTTACAGCTCTCCTCCTGTCTTCAGATGCTCTCCCAATGTCCTCCCCCTTCCTGCCCTTCTGCCCCTGCTTTTATACCCTTGGTAGGGCTCAAGAAGCATCCAATCAACTACAAGCTTTAACATCCAATCAGCAACAGGCTTTAACATCCAATCAGCAACAGGCTTTAACATCCAATCAGCAACAAGCCTTAACATCCAACCAAAAACAGTGAGATTCAAAGATTACCCAATCAGGATCATGAAAGCAGCGTGGCTGGAAACAGGCCGTGGCACGAGGGCCTGGGGCATCCGTGGGGGTCCCAGCGGTTGGGTGCCTCGGGGCCCGGCCCCAGCGGCGTGCCTTTAACTGGCCACGCACAGCACTGGCCCCCGGAGATGCAGAACTACGAGGAGGCGGCAATCGGCCACGTCCCGGCACCCGACATTTTCCGCATCACTATTACTGACAAACTACCCAGTCTCGGGTATTTTGTTACCGCAGCACAGATGGACTAAGACAGTTACGCTGCGTGTGTGAATGCCATATGACTTCCGATCTTACAACCAAAACATGTCGCCTCAATACGAGGCAATAACATCGTCCCCAGCCCGTGAAACCGCGGTCCCTTACGGTCTGCAAGAAACTCATTCCTCTCTCTGACACAGAGAGACCACAGAAGCAAGGAAGCCTTTTTAGAGCCACATAGGATTTTGAAGACCCTAAGTTTGACTTTCATGTCTAAACTGAATTAAAATAATGAGACGATTTTCCACGACTCATTTACTTCTTCTTCCTCCCTGTGCTATTTTAGCGGTGGTTTCAGACTGGCGTAGGGGATGTCCATGCGGATTTTAAACTTGCAAACAAGAATTTCCTGTTGTCTTCATCTCCAATTTGTCTGGATGACTTTCCTGGCTCTGGAATGCCACCAAGGTTGTCGAGGAACCTGTTAGCTGTCCTCGACAATCAGCAGAGGAGAGAGAAACGCCACTCCAAACCAAAACACTCCCCCCACCCACCGAGTCAGCCTCCCGGGGCCCCTGTCGGACACACCTTCACCACGGCACAGAAGTCACAAACCCAGGTGGTGAATTTGCTGGGAAATTGTGATTTGCAGGAAAATGTGACCAGATAGCTAGAGGGTCCCTCGTGGATGGCAACACAATGCATGGTAAGTGAGGGAACAGAATGAGGCCCCTAAACAGAGGGCGCCTGGCCAAACGATACTAAACATCCTCTTACTGCAGGCCATGACAGCGTGGGCCAGATGTTACAGGCCAGGGCTGACTCATTGTGAATCCATGTGCTCCCTCCCCCAAGTCACAGTTTGCAGTTTGTTCCAGGCACGCTTAGAAGAGCCAAACCTCCGTCCGAAGGCACCAGGAGAGGGGCCAGGGGAGCCTTGTCGAGATGGGCAGAGTGCGGGATGGTAGCGCAGGACCTGCTTTCCGACTGAGAGCCCAGGCGTTGAAGGGTGGGCCTCATTTGCAAAGGGCAAGGAAGGAATTACTCAGCAGCTGGGAAAGTGGGAATTGCTAGCTACCACCTGCAGCATCGTAAAAGAACACTGGTTCTTAACAACCAGGAGAGCACCGAACAGGCCCTTTGTGACATTTTTATTTACCTTGAGCACACTGGCCTCCCTGACCCAGCCCAGATGGGAAAGGCTCAGGGTGCAAGGCCTCAAGGACCCTACCTGCATTCTTTCACCTTTACCACTGAGAGTCTAGGCGCCTTCCGTGCGTCAGTTCTCCAAGTCTCCACAACAGCCCTATGTTGTGTGAGAATCATTGTTCCCATTTTACAGATGAGTAAGTGGAGATCAGCAAGGCGAAGCCGACTGTCCACCATGATAAACCTTATAAGTGGCAGAAGCAGGCTATAGCACAGGAAACCTGACTCAAGAACTTGAGCGCCTTAGCCCTGCCACCTCCTTCACTCACAGGGGACAAGAGAGACACAGGAAGTCGTCAAATCCTGTATGATGCATGCTGTCACAACGTAGCACGGGGCAGAGAAAACAGTATGGGGGCTGAGAGCCAGGCAGCGGGGAATGGGGAAGGCAAGAAGGTCAAGCCAGCTAATTCCTGAGCCTCAGTTTTGTCTTCTGTATAATCTTCTTCAATGATTGAGAACAGCCAAGTCAAGACAAGCCTGGCAACAAACTCCCAAGGCTCTCTGGGGAAATGCCTGTAGTTATAATATTACAAGCTATGTCAGTGTTGGTATCTAATCCCTCCTAAACTTCAGGAAATTCTAGGATGGGGACAGACCTTACATGTCTTGGCCCCACAGGTTATGTGAGCACAACATCCTCTGTTAATAGACCACAGATCCATGCAAAGAATGTTCACCTTTGGTTCCAAAATTCATCAGAGAAGTGTATGAGGATGTTCACAGAAGTGCTAGATTTTCTGCAAATATGGCACCAACAATTCCTCCTATCTCTGCATCCACATGCTATTTTCTCATAAAGCTGTAGAGTTTATTCCCCATCTCTGATGTCTGGACTGACCGGGTGACCAGCTGTGACCAGTAGGACCCAGCAG